GAATTTGCTGCCCCCTTCATATTGCAGCTGGTTAAGACCAAAAGAAAGGCACCTAGAAAAAAAAATTAGAAAATCTCTCAAAATCATATAGTCTACAGGAAAAAAAAAAAGCTGCTTAAACTAGGTATGCATCATCTGATCATGCAAACATGCAACCAGGGAAACCACTTGCTAGGCCCACCAGCTATCCCATCACCTCTCAATCTGTTTAACCATCACCTCGTTGCTCTTTGGGCTCTGTGGAATTTGCTGCCCTCCACCAGAAGGGAAGCACACAGATTTACCACCCCATCTCTTATCCTCCCCCCAGCTTCTTCAGGATGCACCCTTGTGGGCAGCAATACCATAGCCAACAGCAGGCACCGATTTTCTGCATTCAGTGACTCCACACATAATGGATATTTTTTTTCACGCAGAATACTCGTACAAGTACCAGCTACAGCTGAACCTGTCTCTTGGCCATACACACAGCCACCATTGCAGGTCCACATCCCTTGCCTACATGTTTTCTTCTGCATCTGCCTGAAGGACACGCCTTGCCATGTGGACAAGTCAAGGCTGGTTTTGACCAAGCAGTCACAGTCATGGTCCATGCTCCCAAAAATTAGGTACGCGCTATTACATTCTATAATCTCTCTTCTCCAATTTTCAGTTCTTTTAAAAAGGGAAGGCTCATTGCCTCCCCAAACCTTGTGTTTTCACCCTGTAGACTCTCTGGAGCCACAGGTCAGCTTGACCTTTCAAATTCACAGAGCAGATACACTAAGCTCCGTAAAGGTTGCTCTGCACAGAGATGATCTAGGCGATACCTACAGAACTGGAGGACCTGACTGCTCCGTAAAAGTGTTAATGACACGTGGCAATTTTCACACCAATTGGCCCTGGTGGAAAGTTCCTGCAACGTGTAATTGGAGAGCTATATCCCTGCTTTTGAGCTCACGGATGGCTAACAAACACCAGTGATTCTGGAGAAGTAGGTCTGTGCATCCCTCAAAAAAAAAGGCATAAACCAATTTATATATGTTTAATCCCTACTGGAATTTCTAGGATTTCCACATTAGGAGTTTGGTAGTGACTGAAGTAACCTTGAGTCTCCCATCCCCTGCTGTTTGGTTACTGCTAGTTGCCGTTGAAAGGACTGTAAACTTGCGTTCCTTCTATTCAGGGAGGGGCCCTTGCATGACACAGCTCTTCTGCAGCCAGCAAAGCTGGAAAAATGAGATTCATTTTCTATAAGAAATAACTTCAGCCCTCAGAGATCTCTCTGTCTCCTCCTCTGCACATGTTCTAGTCTAATGGTCAATACAAAGGCAGACAATGACCACATCATGCTTACTTTCCATCACCCACTTCATTTTCCATGCTTTGCAGTCACCCCCTCAAATCCGCAGGCCTCATAACTTCTGTTTTGCTATTCATATTAGCTCACCAAGGCACAGTTGACCTCAATACCCTACAAAACCATCCCAAAACAATATCTCTGCTGAAGTGCAGACTCTTCAACAACTGGCCCACCTGAAGAGAAGTGCAGATCAGCCTCATAGGAGAGCTGCGATAGCCCACGTCTCCCAGCTCTCAGTGTGATGCATCACCTAGAGAGTAACACACCTTCAACAGCCATTAACTGCACCTATCTCTGCGCAAACGAAAGGCTCATACACCAAGGTGGGTGAAAACCTGAAACCCCATGAAACACTCACAGCAGGTACGTTTCTGTGGCAGGCACAGGGGCTCAGAGGTGATGTCTGTTCTTGCACATGACAGCAGCTGTTCCTTCTCAGTCCCAGGCAGTTTGAACAAGAGCAGCGCATACATCTTCCTTGTATTTCTCTCCTTAACCTTTCAAGAAAGGGGTAGGGGGAGGCTAGTTAGTACCAAAATCTCCCAATTGGAATGTGAGCTTCTGGTTTTCCTAGGCCAGGGAAGACTCCAGCACCAGGCACTTTGCAAGTGCTTTTCATTCTCTATCTGTAAGAGCAATTACTCAGGGATCCTAGCTGCCTTTGAGCACTGATTCGAGGAGTCGGCTGCTGAAAGGCGACTTCCCCCAAGCAATCTCCTGACAAAATGCAGGTGGCATACAGTATCTGAGCAGCACATGCCAACATCCTTCCCCATACATCCAGGTTCCTGACAGGTTCCCTCTGTGCAACTCAGCCATCCAGGAGATGAGTATAGGAGGGTGCAAACAAAGTTTTGCCCTTAAAAAGCGTGAAAAGAGCGAGATTTCTAGAAAGGAAAAGAGTTTGAGAAATCCAGCTTCACCGATTCGAGGCAGTGGCAACGCTGTGGGAAAGCAGTGGGAGCTAATCCCACGTGTGCAGTGAAACGACTCACGCACTAAAAGTCCGGGAAGGAGAGTTGCATTTTGTCTTCTCATCCTGAGGGATGGCAGAGGTCCTGGATGCTTACCATCCCCTCCCACTAGATGGCAAGAGTCCCCCTCCTAACAGCAGAGCCTCTGCAAGCACAGACTTTGTGTCCAGGGGTCAAGAGCCAGAGAAGGGACTTCTGGCCCTAGACAGCACTGCGCAGATAGAACTGGCCTCCCATCCAGTCTGCCAGGATTTATTTTGCTGTGATTGGAAAGCTATGTCCAGGAGAACTGAACAGAATAAGGCCGTTTGCTTGTAACAGGGAGAGGATGCTCAAGAACCCAGCATACTGATCTCCATTACTCCCAGGCAAACGCAGCAAGTCCCTCCTCATCCTTAAAAGGCGCTAAGGAAACATCTCTTTTAACATCTTTTGTGCTAATTCACTGTGACAGGACAAAGAACATGTCCTAACAAGGGCAGTCTCTGCTAGCGGTTCTGCTCTTATGCAGAAACTTGAGCAATTAGTTCAAGGACAGAGACGCCAGTTGCTAAATTTGCAAGAGGGCTTGCTGCATGGATGCAGCAAGGGATGCGAAGGGAACAGCCGTGTAGGAGACCCTCATGTCTGATCCCACCGTTTCATTAACACCCTTCATGTCTATGTGATCAGCTAGGAGCTAAGGACTCTCAGCTTTCACGGCGGGCGATGCCCTGAGAGTTACCTAAGATTACTGCCTCCCACTATTTATTACTGCCTGCCAAAATTTGGCCATGACAACCTAGAGAGCCCACTTAATGTGGAAAAAAAAATGGCACTGTTGGAATCTTGTTTGCACCGGAGTTACCAGCAGAAGAGAAATGCTGGTAAAGTGCCATACACACGAGACCTGGGAATAGAAAATACTTGCAGTCTGTAGGTTCAAATCCTGCCCTGCTCTGCACATTATTTGTAGTGGGGAATGTAGAGTTAGTAACTTCCAGGACCCTGGAAAGCATTTGGAGTTCACAAAAACCTGGACACCAGATTTGTGCCTTCAGTGCATTTGTATGTTGCCTGGTACAAGCGTGCTGAGCACTCCCTTTTGAAGATCAGGGCTCTAAAAAGTATCTCCAGCAACACAAACCACTCATCATTTAGGAACACGCTGCTAACCCAGTCCCAAGCAGTTTCCCAGCACCGCTTCTTACCAATCCAAAGACCTTCAAACACAAGCAGGCGAGAAAATCGCTGTCATCCTCCCAGTCTTTAAACAAAGGCAGAGTGACCTGAAAAAACTGTCAGGACCAGGTCCCCTGAACTCTACCCACGAGGAGGCTGGTGCCCAGGGAGAGGGACACAGCAAGTCCTCACGAGGCTCATTTCGGCTCTCAATGAGCTTCATGCGTTATTTAGTAGCAACAATGGCAGAAACAATGGGACAAGAAAGGACAAGGTGCCCCCGATCAGGTACGCCATCAAGTCACTACTATTGACTGTCCCCTTTGCTAAGTGCTGCAGAGACAGAAAACCCTTTTGTTTCCACAAGCTGCAGGGCTACCACCGTAGGGCTGCTGTTCCCAGAGAAGCCATGTGCTTCCTCCCTTCCCCACCCTCTCCATCATACCCTGCCTTTCTCATGGGTGTACTTTTGTCTCCCAATCACTTCTTCCATTAGGGGCCACGTTTGGGCTTTGTTTGCTTTGGACATTTTCCACACACAAAAACACAACAACAAAAAGAAGAGTGATGCAACTAAGAGTCCGTGAAGCCAAAAGCTTCAGTATCATTCACCTGTCTGTTCCAGGTCACTAGGACAGGTCAAAGAGCAGTGCCCTTGCCTCCCCTCTGTGCTTTTCTGCATGCCTTACCTGTCCTTAATGGGCCTGGAGAAAGGACAAGGTGAATAGGAGAAGCAGAAGAAAGAAAATAAAGCATGTTAATACAGAAACAGACACAAACAGATAAACATTACCATTGTGACCTGGGAATCTGAGCTCAGGAACAGGCATGGAGTGAAAACAGGTATTGCTAAGTCTCTTAAAGGAATCATGTTTCCCCTGGTGTCATAGTTTCACATAGTCTCTTTGGAGCAGGCTTGTCCAGGGGAAGGATGGAAAGGTTTCCTTTTTTTTTTCCCTGCCCCTTCATCTGGAGCTGCAAAAAGAACTGCAAAAATGATATGGTTTTAGACTTCACCTCAGGAGATGTCACAAAGTTCTTCCTCCTCTTCCAGAGCCCCTCGTGCATCCTGCAAACCCCTACAGGGGGGTGGGAATGAAACAAAACAAAAAAAACCATCATGCACACACTGTAATTCTAATTAATAGCACACTACAGCCAGATTTTCAAAGAAGCTAAGAACTGAATTTGCGCACGCTTGCCACAGGATAGTTCAAGCACTAAAAAAGCACAGCAGCCTTGTAAATCCAGGCATTTAGTTTTGGCACTTGGCTGATTACTTTTGAAAATCTGTGCCTCCTCCCCATGCCTTATGGGCTTTAAGCTCTTAAAGCAATTAAAGGCACCCGCATACCTGTCAGCCTCAATATAGCAAACCTTAACACGCAGTGAACTCCCACAGAGCCCTCGCCGGAAGGGCCTCGCGCAGTCCGTGTGCTGAGATGGCGCGCTGCGTTACGCAGCAGGATGGTGCATGGCTCAAGCTCCCCCCTGCGCCAGGGGCTGGACCGCCGAAGCCTTGTTACCCATTAATCAGCAGCACTTTGAGCACCCCAGAGGAGGTGCCCACGAGGAGCTGACTGTTCCCCAGGCCATCCCATCAGCCTCGCAGACACACCAGCAGCAAGACACACCAGGCTATGGGAGCAGGGTGACCTGCAGGGTGCTCCGGTGGCTTCCTCGCACAGACACACTCTCTGAGCAAGCTACAAGCCTATACGTACATACACAATCAGGGCAACAAGCTCAGCACCATTTTTGTTGCCCTACACTGCCCTGACGGTCAGGCTAGTACTCAAAGCTAGTTTTTAATGTCCTTTCTTCTAAAATACATTTTCCCAGGACAAAGCCCTACTCTCTTCCATACCCAAACCCCAAGAGCATCCCAGTTAGAGAATTAAAACTACCTCCTGAAAGAAGCAAAGCTGGGGGGTCCAAGTCGCTGGTGCTCTAGTCTTTCCAAAAGTACAGACCCAAGGACAACCAATCTTTTAGATCCACAGCCTAAGAATCTGCTGAAATTCCTCTCAACAGACTCATTTTTCGCTAAACAGCAGCAATCTGCCCCAGAACTGCTGCTACATCAATCCAAAGCCACCGGTTTTAGGCTTGGTTTTCCATTTCAGTTCCTTACTACAAACCACTCTGCACGCTTTGTTCCCCTCCGTAGTACCCTACCCCACTTTTACTGCACCTTCCCCATGGTTCCACAACAATGAAAACGCAATCCCATCTCTTCTTCAACAGGACCAAAAACTTCACTTTGAAGCTAGAATACCTCAGATAAGCAGAAATGTTGCCAAAGAGGACAAGGCAAGAGCACAGCACCATCTGTTTTTCCCTAGTCCTATGCTCTCTCAGCCCTTATAGGCTCTTGCTTCTAATGAGTATGATTGCTTTCTCCTGTGCACCTTTAGGACAATTAATTCAGCTACCTCTCCCTGCCCCCTAAACCTGTGAGATATCAAGGGGCTTAATTCCCAGCTTGCTGGAAGTAAATAGGGTCCCAGTGCTGCTTTTGCACAGCAGACTCAGCTCCCTGAAGCTCACCGTACCGCTACCAGGGTGTGCGACATATTGGTCATGGATGGAACGGCTAAGAGTCAGGGTTTAAAGAAACTCGGCCCATTCCCCTCCACTCTTTCAGTTAGCTTTACAACAATAAAGACATAATGCAGCAGAAAACCTGCACAAAGAAATACAAATCCAAGAAGCAACTGGGGGAAATGGTTTATTGGAAGAAAAAAAAAAAAACAAACACCAAAAACCAACCTAGGCTGTGAAAGTGAAGCTCAGTGACTGGCATTGCCATGACAAATTGACCCTTCTCATCCACAGGGAGCACCTAATGAGATCTCTTAAAGACCCTAAAGAAGCCTGCAAGTCCCCAAGCAGATAAGAGCCAGCTGGTTTTAGTTTTGAAGAGCATTCCCCCCCACCTCACTCTGAGGCACCTTGACACCTGCTCACCTTATCAAGCAGTTTGCCACCTGATATCTGAATGAGGGGGAGAACAGAAATATAAACCAGGGCTCTCAGCACCACCTTGCATGAATGGAAAAAGCTTGGTTAAGTTTCTAGGCCTTACACTTGTTTGAATCTGGTTTTCCATGCACTGCTTAGATTTTTAATGAACAGTAGCTGCTCTGCTGGCAGTATCTTTTTACCAATACAGGAGGAAATTGTGTATTGGGCCCTCTTTATTCTGCCCTTCCTGAACCAAATCTCTAGAAAAAGCAGGACAATAGTCCTAGGATCCTGGGGGAGAATAAAAACAAAGAAAAAACTCAAGAGACACTGTACGCTGCAGAGCAGTCACTGGTACATGGAAAGCTTCCTGCCCATTCATGCCCCATTTTCCTGATCACTTTCTCACCCCCATTCCTCATCTTATCTTTCTTCACATTCCAAACACTCCTGCTTCGTATCTCCATTCCCCAGTGTGGTGCTTTCAAAAATGAGTGTGGAAACCCTAAGGCAGACACACCATGCTTTATGTAAGCACAGGCCCACTCGGTCTCCATTATCCCAATGCTGGTACCTGACCCTATTGTATCCACCAAGCTTCCTAGCTGCAGCTTGTTCTACCAAAACCTTCTTAAGCTCTGGGGGCCACAACACACATTACTTCACTGTGCACAGCCAGCGTTTGTCCATCCTACAAGACAAGAAAGCAATGTCGAAATCCTGCACTTGGTTCAACCATGACATACTATATACCGTTAGACAATTGGTTTTCCTTTCAAAAATGTTTACAGCAGAGTAGTTAAGGCCAGAATAGGTTTGGTTTTTTTTTTTTCAATGCCTGTCCATTATTCTTTTCAAATGAGCTGATTTTATTAAAGAATCAATTTTAAAGTTATACATTATTTTCTTTTCTTTTTTTTTCTCTTTTTTTTTTTTGCATTAAGTGTTACGAACTTTGCTAAAAAAAATGCTGCAGCATCTAAAAGGAAATTCTATTTTAGGTCTGAAACATCCTGCAACTTTTTAATGGTTTTGTGATCTTCATAATGTTTTTACTGGCCTTTTTGGGGTTGGTTTGGATTTTTTTTTTTTTTTTTTGCTTGCTGCATTTGACACTCTCTCTTCTGCCAAGAGATGCTTGGCATCTGCCTGGATTTTGCCAAGTCACACGCTGGTACTTCCTCTCCACTCCACCACTACCATCAGCCCTTGTCCAAAGGGGGCTGCTTTATCTAAGCATGCAATTAGAGGCTCTGTGCTCAGTTTTAGGCATCTCAGAAACAGGAAGTACAGGCTCTGTAACAATTGGCGGTGTCAGTTTTCTGATAAATCTTATCAGCCTAACGAGTGCTACAAGTTTGTACCACAGTTCCAGACATCAGAAGCGAGAGGTGTATTATCTGAGCATTCACTCAGATGGTGCTCAAAAAATAGCAAAATGCAAACCAGACTCTCAGCTGGTGAAGTGCTCAGATATGTCAGGTACAAAAAAAATCCTTTCTAAGAGGGAGACGCTATTTGTTATTTCTGAACAGTCAGTTAAAGATTCTGCTGCCGTTTCAAAATTCCACCACCTATCCAGTTAATTATTAAGACTGCAACACAGCCACCTACCAGACACTGGGTGGAAGGAGCAGGAAGTTTAGCACCTAAATTTAGCTGCCGTTCAGCAGATCAAGCCTAATTCCCTGTACAGTCAAAGGCAATAAAACAATTCAAAGTATCTAGATATTTAGATGAATAAACTGCACCTGAAGCATGACAAAAATGGTATCAAGATGTCTAGTTCTCCAACACTGAAAACAGCATCCAGTTTTCCAGCATATTCACACCTACTAGAAGAGAAGAAAGTTTTGCCAGTTGGATACAAACCGTGAGAACAGAAGTGATACCGTGCAATAAAATATCCATACACCAAGAGTTCATATAAATCCCACTTTTAATCATGGACAAATTTACTTTCAAGTAAAATTAACAATTTTAAATAAAATATAAATTAACAAATCACAGTACTCAAAAACAAAAAAAAAGAGACACTGTGCATGTCTACTCTAGCAGAAACAAAAGCCTAGGCATATTCCAGTTCTTTTCACCTTACTGGAGTTTCAGGGAGATCTCTGAATGATTATGAAACAGAAATAAAGGATTAAAAAGTGGTGACTTGCCACTACGAAGATACAGCTTCCAAGACAAAAGGGGAAACCTCACAAATAAACAAAACTGATTTAAGCAGTTTTGTGGAAGCACAGCATTGGGTGCAATAGATTTTCTTTTCCATCACAGTACTTATCCCAGAATATAAAATCAGATTAAGCTGTCCTAAAAGGTTGTTTTCTTACTGCTTTTGAAAACCCTGCACTTCCTTTTCTTTGACTGAGGAGACTCAGAATTGAGAAGTCAATTAATATCAGTCCTGGAATCTGGAAAAGAAAATAAAAACAGTCCTCATTCATTCTAGCTAACAGGATTTTACAATCTCACCCAAAGGATGAGAATTCACACTCATTCTCTTACCATACATAGCTTAAGCTGCTGCTGCTCATTTACTGACGAGTCTTTGCCCGTCCCATTACACAAAGTGCAATATTAAAAAAAAAAAAGTAATTTTTGGCAGATATTGTCTAATGAGACTAAGCCAAGTTGACCCCATTTTCCCAAAGCCTAGCTGCATTACACACTCCAGGCAATCTGCTTCTTCAATGGTTTAAAGGGACAAAAAGGAGGAACCCTGAGGCAAAAATGGCTTTTTGAGTAGCAAGTCCAATAAAAGCTCTCCATCACAGCATCTCATAAGGGTCCTGCAATCTTCTGTGGTGGGAGGCCTTCCTCAATCCATAGGGAAGTAGACGAGCCATTACGCAACATTCGCCTGTGGATCCGTCTGAGCCTTAGCAGGTAAAGCAGGATGGAGAGCAGCACAATCAGAAAACAGACAAAAAACAAATAGTGATTGTAAACAAAGGAGAAGCTCCTCCAGTGGGAGTGACTGCCACGGAAGTTTTCTTGCTGGATGTCTCTGAAAAGAATCAAAGGGACAACAGATATAAGTTGCAAATCAAACTTTGCCCCCAACCTATCTTACCACAGCAAACAGAGCCCATTTTAGTGGAAGAGTCTTTATAAAGCATTACTTGAGCTACCTGAAGTATGTGCTGAGGTTACATATAATGCACTAGAAACAACATCTTGTCTCCCCCTATCTGTCAGCTGCTTTGTTGTCACCATACCTCTTCCCTTCATAAAATCCTCCCCACCTTCCACCCAAGTGCTCTTTCCAGACATTTGAGAAAACAACCGGTACCTTAAAGGTAAAAACCGTGTTCGGTAAAGAATGGCTCCCAAGGTCCACTGCACCTCTTTATCATAAACCTGCAGAGCTGTTTTCAAATTGCTGTAACTCACAGGAAAAGAGAAGCCACTGTGAAATACTTCATACATCCAGGCAGACTTGAAACACTGGTACCTATAGAAAGAGCGGCATTAAAGTCAGGCCAGCACTTACAGAGTCCCAGAGGACTGGGGAGCACATTTAGACACATAATTATCAGTGCTTTTTTATGGCTGACACAATATCTAAAGGTTATATTCACACCTCCGATGATTTCATTAAATGGATCATTTGGACATGACCTCTCCCTGGCAACTCTGCATGAATGAATTTGCTGTACAAACACAAATACTTACTTCAATCTGTGGAGATCAGCATGTGATGCATAAAGACCACGGTCAAAATGTTCCCGTAGGACAGACCACTTAGTGGCACAATAATCCTTCAAGGGAAAAAAAAAAAAACAAACAAAAAACCCACTTTAACATTGCCTCTGCCTTGAGAAGAAAAAAATGCTACTAGATAAGATGCTCTGTAAATACCAAAAGCTAGAAAACTCAAAAATAATGGCTTCCCTTGCACTGCCAGCAAGTCAGACCAGTAATTTCATGGTATTTTCTGTAACATTTTGATCCGTACTTGGCATTTGTGGTTAAATTAGTATTCAGTAGCACTTAAACTCTTTGGTCGTGTACTTTGAGATGAAAAATAGACAACCTACTTTCAGGGCACTGACAGCACAGGCTGTATTCCTTTACTTTGTGTCGTAGCCTTACTTTAAACTGTCCCCCATAGATCGATCCCTGTTAGGAGCAACACCTGAGAAACTGGTACAAAACATATAAAGCAAGGAGAAAAGGAATTCTTTTTCTAAGAACAACTAAGACATTCCTAAAAAGAAGCAAGGGGTGGAAGCAGAATGGATTTCCCAATTATCGATAGTTCTGCTGGAACTTGACTACGAGTCCTGTACCCTCTAGAGTGAATTTTACTATTGTGCCTTAAAAAAAGTATTCTAAAAGAAAACTAAAGGAAAATCCAATGAGGAAAAGATACCCTGTGATAGTTCATTGCAGAGTAAAAGGAGTTTGGATCTTTAAAGGAAGAATTTTGTCACCAGGCTTTCAGAACCAAATGCTTCTGGGGAGTAGCTGTTCTGAATCTCTCAGGAACACTTTACCTTTGCGGCTTTAGTAAATTTAGCAGCATTGTAATCTCCTCCCATGCGTAACACATCCTCGGTGCAGTAGTAGAACTCTGAGAAACCATAGAATTCACTGTTCTGGAAGTGCACAGCAGGCTGATAGACACCGTTAAGAGATGTCTGCGTTTCATTAGTCTTATTCATGAACGGTTGAATAATTTCACGACACAGATTAAAATCTCCTGTTCCCCGCAAATACATTATCTGTCCATTCTGCTGGATCTCATCCTGAGCATCCAGGGGCAGGCAAGGATCTAGGTAGGGTGAATCAGAAGTCATACCAGTCTGTTTGCCCAGCAGTCTGTATAAAGGAGCAAACACAGTAACAACTGCATATTCAGAAACATCAAGCTTTGAGATACAACAGCATCAAAACAAAGCATCCTCATTTAAAGAAACTCCAGCACTGCATGCAGCACACTGTAGGAATTAAGTTTTACATCAGGATACTTTACTAAATACATTCAAGTTAAGGGGTTACCGAGCCTAGCGATGCACAGAACCCATAACCCATATCCCCAAGCAACTGCAGCCAGCTACCTGTTTTTAAGCACTGTACTGGTAAACAGACTGTCTTCATATCTCTGCCGTGCTGCATTTCCCCCAAAGCCAAGGAATGTTGCAACGTAGACTCTGTACACGTGCTCAGTTTGATGAGCATCACAGCCCAGGTTGAATTCTGCAAGTAAGTTTTTGGCTACTTCCTCCTGTAGGAACACAAGCACCAAGATTAGGTATAAACAGTATGAACCAGAACGTAAGGATGAATTCTTTGGACAACTGGATGCCCTTGACATCTTTAGACTTCATTCCTTAGTCACCTGTTTAGCTTTTCACAGATCCACGTTACCTTCTACTTCATAGGGAGAGCAAAGCATATTGATTGCAGAGAACCACCTTATCACTACAGATACTCAAGGAACCGTAAAGGCCAGGAACTGCTACTAGGGATACTGAAGCATCTTTTCCTATGAAAAAGTATGCACTGTGGCTACTAATCTCAATGCTTCCACTTCTGATCGAGTCCCCATACTACTGCTTGGTAGGCTAGGTAGAGATTTATGATCTGCCCAGCAGAGCCGTTCTTCATTTTCCAACCTGGAGTTCTCAAGCTTCTCAGGAAACCTGTCAGTCACTCAGCTCTGCTCACACATCAGTGCACTTGCAGTAGCTTTTCAGATATTTAAGAGCTGTGTAGCAGAAGCACTTCACATAGAACACACTCAGAAATGCAGCATAACACTGCATGGCTTCCAACTGACGTTGTGAATGAAAAACAGCAGTAGGACTCTAAGCGTCACAGTCAGTTGTTTCTCTCTCTTGTCATTCTCTGTCTGGGAACCTGGACAGGTTCCATGACCAGAAAACCTATTTTATATTGGTTTATGTTCAGGTAGAGCCATACAACAGTTGTCATATCAATTGTCTGCAACTCTTCCTAGTTCCAACTCATATTTGACTGGGGCAACCTGCTCTGAATCTAAACACCCATATGTTTGTTGAACAGCCCCCAAACTATGTGTTACTCCATCTGTCTGAAAGGCAATGTAGTTATTAAAACTGTAATAATGAAACCCCATCATTTCACAGGAAGATTTAAAAAAAATAAAATATATACACGTCATTGTAACAGAGCATTGAGAGTCAAAACATAGGGCTTTTATGCTATTCTTACTTTAGATAATTTCTCAGTGAGGTTAACTGGAAGTTACCCAACACTCAAAAATTCAGGAATTACTCATTGGATTGAAGTGAGAGCAATTTATGTTCAATTTAAGAACTGTACCAAAGAAATCTGCTTCCTACAACAGACGAACTGTTGAGGACATAGGTGAGTCGTAAACAAACTGTACTGTCACCCCCATGTCCTGTTAATTCAGTTTCTACCAACCCAACTCAAAGGAAAAAGCTGTGTCTTACATAAGAATCACTGCACAACTTTTGGTTTCTGAGCTGCAGAATACAGTCTCTTAAGTATAACAGATTTTAAAATTGTACACACACACACAAGAATGCATGTCCACACATCCACTTAAACTTAAAAGTTAGTGGCAAATTAGACTAATTGAAATAAACGATCGAATGAACAAGATACAAATGAGTTGCTTAGCTGATGAAGGACTTGTATTTGCCATCTTCTCTTGCCTCAGTTTTGAAATGTGATGTAATGAAGAACAGGACTCAAAACAAAGAAAACAAAACAACAAAAATGCATTAAAATAAACCAAAAGGAAAAGAAGGAAGTTGCACAGATAATAACCTGCTGCGAAGAGGCAAAGCTTACAGTTTTAGGGACTTCGTATGCTATCTGAGTCGACACTCCGCCCATGTCAAGAATACCCACTGTCCTCTTACGGAAGATGGCCTCTTTGTTTTCACTGCCTGGGACATGCACCTCCACAATCGCTTCATCCTCTGCGTAAAACAATGAAAAGGCATTGAGAAATACAACCAGGGTGGGCCTAAAGCAGTGCTACACTACTTCTAGTTAGTAGTTGTAGCAATGCAGATCATTGAAATCTCACACATGAAATCAGCATCAGCACATTGCACTATCTATTGTCTAAAAACACACCATCAACAGTGAAAGCACAGGGATGTACTTAAGCCCTTCCTAAAATCCAATTCACAGTTAAGATACGTACCATCATCTGTATGTTCAAATCTTCCAAGAACAAAGTTGATGCCAATCCATGCATAAACTCCTACATGCATAAGAAAACATATTTCAGGAATATCGGGTACATATCATCTTAAAAACAAAGAGGGATTTTTTTTGCATATGAGTTAAGATACATCACTGCTCATCTTTTATTACATAAAATACTTAGAAGTTAAACATTCCTGACAAGTTATTCTACTCCTTCTCTCCCAAGTCAAGGCTATGATAAAAATCCTGATTTGATGTATTAAAGACAGCCTGAGGTCTAAATTTCAGAAAAAGCACATTAGCTTTTAAGATGATTTTAAGCCTCTAATGAGCTGATCACATAAAAACATTGCTCCTTTAGAAACCATTTTTCCCTGCAAAGTTTCTTCCATCAAGAATGTTGTGCCTTATCCTCACCCCTCCCTCCCCAAAGCCAGAGAAAATGGACTAAAATTCCTGCTAAACACAGAAAGTTATTTTTGCTGCCAATTAGAAAACATTTAGACAAGTTAGAAGATCACAGCAGATGATCATCTCCACACTCCATATGTTGCTGCTGAGGAATAAGGTCTCTCAACCAAACCAGCATTTTAAAAAGCAACAAAAAAAATTATCCAAGTTATGCCGTGAAAGTAATAAACATTTCAAAGATCATTTTTCCAACGTTAACCTACCTTCCTGCTTCCCTGAAATAACCTCTGCATGCGAGTCCGAAAACAGAAAATCAAAATGCACAGGAATATCAGTGAGCAGATCTTCAAGTATTGCCTTCTGCTGGCTGCAAAATTACATTTTGAACAGTTAAAAATAGTCAGACACACCAGAATTGCTATTCTAAATGCTAAAAATAAGACAGCCAATAACCTTTCTGGCAGAATCCTCATTCCTGCAGTACACAGAATGTAAAGAGGAGTCTCTTTGTGTTTTGCACGTGGCACATGTTCAGCAGCAAAGCTCAGAAGTGGAGAAATATAATCGCTGACCTTTTCAGGAGAGCTGGCAAACTCCGAAATGCCTAGTGAAACAGATAAATATGAAAGTGAAGCAACTCAGGCTTTGGTTATCAAGATTTTCCAGGAAATACCCAACAGACAGGAGAAACGAACAGCCGAAAGCCAAACCCAGGAAGTCAACTACAGAAATAAGAAAACAAGAATGAAGCTAACACTTAATCACCCTCCAAACTTCAAACAAAAACCTGTATTGGGTATATTACCTGCTTATATAATTGGTTCAAATAGCTTTACAGAAAGCCAATTATTCATTCACTAAATAAACGGAACCAAGTTAACCAACAACTGAACCGGCAACTGCCCTAGCCTACAGAGAAACCTCTTCCTCCTGCCCCTCAGTGTCATGCTTTAAAGGTGAACAAAGCTCTCTGCAAACCAAACCCAAAGAAAACTGGAGGAGTGCCATGCTGACAACTTGCAAGCGTCCTTTACCCAGACACTTCAAATATGGGGTTTGAAAAAGCAAATTTAAGATAGAAAATTACATCTAAATTTAATTTCTTTCCAGTACCTGGTTTAATTTTCATAACCACTGGTTTTCTGTTTTTGTCCCTCATCTGTTTGATGTCCAACAGATCATGCGGATTACCATTGTGCCTTGGCCAACAATACACAAAAATCCTAGAGCCGCTGCTGCCACAGTCCACAACGATTCCATAGTTCAGATTGGGGTTGTTTGTGTCCGTAGCTTCAGTGTCAGTTACGCGGGCAAGATATCTAGAAGAAAACCAAACATTACTACATGGCAATTAAGTTCCATATGGAAGTTTTTCTCAGCATCAGACTCAAAACAGGACAACAGCTTCCATCATAGGAATCAGTTTTCACTATTGTACTGTTGCTGAGGGGGGAAAAAAAAAAAAAAAAAGGGAAGTGCCACCCATAAGAATCAAATTCCCAGAATAAACACCAATAGTAATTTCCAAAATAACTTATTACGCAATATTTTTGCACCTGTAGTTTTACTAAGCTGCTACAGATACATATTAGAAAGATGAATTATTGATAAATTAAAATCAACTTAGATAAGGAAAGCTTCATAAAAAAGCAGGCAGTTGTACTCAAACATTTTTCCCCCCATTCCTGTATTTTTACAGACAGAACCTGTCTCTCTCACACCAAAACTACATTTCATTCCTTTCCACCTCTCACCTGTGGTATCTTTTGTCCCTGTATGCACGCCCATACTTATTGCGGATGACTACCAGAGAGTAGTAAAGCAAAGAGACAGCAGCAGCAAATATTCCTATCACAACGATCTGTCGCAAAGTGGTGTTGAGAATACGTGGACATCCCACCGGGGAGATGCTGAAGTGCCAAGAAGCAGGAAGCAAACATGAGATGCTGATCCTAAAATTCAAAGAGGATAATCCGCTTTAAAGATTGACTTTATTACCAAGAAGCAGCACAATGCATTCCAAAACAAGCTAAGGACAAACAGATTCATCACACTTTTCACTCTGCTCTGCTTTAGCTTTGCTTGTGCTCTGGCTTGAGTGTAGCCAAGACACTATTCCCACCTTTGAATTAATGATTAGCCATGAATTAATGATGAGGTTCCCTGTCCTTCATGCAAAAGGCATCACAATTGAATTTCACGGTTCCTTTGGAATTCTTACCTCCCCATTTTGGGATATGACCAGCAGAGAGAAAGACCAGGTGTTCAGACATCAGCCGGTCACCTCGGACTGACAGGGCACACCAACCATTCTCAAAGCCATCGCTTTTCTGTTCCTGAATTGCAAAGAAAACACAGATGATCTTCTAGACAGCATTATGAAGAGCATTGCCAGCAGGTCAAAGGAGGCGATCCTTCCCCTCTACTCAGCACCAGTGAGGCCACATCTGGAGCACTGGCACCAGTCTGGGGCTCCCCAATACAAGAAATACATAGAGCACGTTCAGCACAGGGCCACAAAGATGAGGAAGGTACTGAAGCATCTCTCACGTGGCTGAGAAAGCTGGGCCTGTTGTACACAGAGTGGAGACAGCTCTCATGAACGCACATAAATATCTGACTGGGGAACATAAAGAAGGAAACAGACTCTTTTCTCAGTGGTGCCCACTGAGGACCAGAGGCACAAATGGAAACACAGGAAATCCCATCTGAATTTAAAAAAAAAAAAAAAAAAGCAACCTGCGAGGGTGGTGGGACACTGGAACAGGTTGCTCAGAGAGACTGTGCAGTCTCCATCCTCTGAGCCTTTCTAAGCCTGGTTGGACACAGTCCTGGGCAACCCCCTCAAGCTGGCCCTGCCTGGAACACAGCTTGCACTGCTCTGCTCATGGAGCCCGCAGGAACTTGGGCACAGGCAGCCCCTGCTGCACAAGGGCTTTATAAACAGAGCAGCTTCAGCTCTGCTACAGCCTGCAAAGCCAGTCCCCAAACCATAAATCATAGAATCATAGACTGGTTTGGGTTGGAAGGGACCCCCAGAGGTCACCCAGCCCAACCCCCCTGCAGGAGCAGGGACACCTTGAACCACATCACGTTGCTCACAGCCCCGGCCAACCTGGCCTGGAATGGTCCCAGGGATGGGGCCTCCACCCCCTCTC